TCCAATACATAGTATGTGGTATACTAATAACAAAATCAATACATATACTGGTATGAGATTGACAACCTTGATATAGAAGCCTATATTTGACTCTTGTAACAATAAGATTCAATTCTTACATTGGAAATTCAACTTTGAAGCTAAAAATGGAGTAAAAATTCAACTAGAGGAAGAGTCAAGTCTTTGAAAGTAAATTCGACTCTTCAACTTGCCATATTCGACCCTTGAAAGGGCAAGATTTGACTTTAGATTTCAAAGAGTTTAAAACCAAACCATTGGGGTGAAGGCTAAAATTGAATCTTCATTTAAAGATTCAACTCTTGAAGGCTAAAATTTGACTCTTTTATCCAAGATTCAACTCTTGGATTGCACAATAAAAATTAACCTAAGTCCCAAATTTCTTGAATAATTGACTCTCAACTTGAAGAGTCAATTCTAGACTTTAAATATTCAACTCTCAAACTCCGTATTCAACTCTTGCTTGTACAATAATGGCAAGTTTTTCAAATCTAACGAATCTATAGAGCATTTAATGCAACCTAACATTCCTAAATGGCTACTTTCAACTTGAGGAAGATAAATAGGGTTGGTGGACACACTTATGAGGCTCTTAGACACTTCATTGAAGATTTCCAACAACCCATTTGAGTTTATTCTTATAAAGGATTCAATTTTTTTGTACTTTTACTTACATGTTTGATCAATTTTTAAGTGAACTTGTTTTATAATTTTTAAGTCTTATTCTGTGAGTAATATCTTGTGGGTGTGTTTTATTCCTTCAAAAGTGATTGTGTAGTGGGGATTGTTGGGTTAGATTGAAAGGGGTGAGATTGTGTGTGAAACCTACTTTCTTGTAAAAGGATTAGGTAGCTCCTTCAAGTTTCTCTTGAGCATTAGTGGATAGTGTGGAGGAAATACTTGATGGATGAAGTCAAGGTAGAGGCTTAAGTATCAAGTGGATGGATGAATCTCTATAAAATCTTTGTGCAAGCTTTTCTCCCTTTCTATTATTTATTTTCATCTCATTATTACAAAAAGGAGAAAATTTTGAAGACTACAATTTACCCCCTTCTGTAGTATCTGAACCAACAATACTTTATCAATTTGTAATTCTTTCTTAAACAGTTGGTTATAATATCTAAAAATACCAGCCTATTAGTTGATTTCAACTTATTAAGTAATAAATATCAATTGTTTATATTAGTTATTAGTTATTTTTAAGAGTTAAATTAAACCATAAAGCTAGTATTTTTAAAATTAATATTGTGTAATCTTAGCATTATTGTGTATGGCCATAACCACGCTCGTTCCTCTCATCTGCCATGATGCTGAGGCATCTTCAGTTTTCTTTATTTATTAATCAACTTGAAACCACTGTGAAATGCGAAATCTCAAAGGGCTAGTATAGGACTAAGATCTTGGTGGAGACTGCACAACATAAGAAATTGTTGATGCTGTCATTACCAACCTTGACTGATCTTTTCAGGAAAACTTCTGTTTACACCACAATTGGCAATATTTGAGATGATGCCATATGTCCACATGGAGATCGAGTGGTCATAATTTTTCCAAAATTAATTGGTAAATAGTTGGCTATGATTCAGTACATTGGTGCTTATTTAGGTAATATTCTTTATGTTGCCATAAGTTGATATAGACGATTGTCGTTGAGTGGAAGCCTTTGGCATTTTTGTTAATTGGGCCCGTGAAATCCAACTTCATTTATTTGGAAATGGACTAAGGATTGGAGTATCTTTTGGCCTGAAGCAAGACAACAACTTGGCTCAAGAGAAAGTGCAGCCCAAGTGTTATTTTAAATCTTTGCAAATAAGTTAAAAACTCACGAAACCAGAGATAATATTTTATTTAAATTGAATTCTTATTCTCTTTGTTCGGTGCGGATAAATTGTAGACTTGGAGATCAAATCAAAATGGGATTTGATTGCGTCAACTGAGAAGCAAAGGCAGCTTCCATTTGGTTCCAACAAACAAGATTTTGGTGGTTTCTAGTTGTTGCATTTTCATTTCTAGCTACAAACAGATCGCATGATGGAGATAATTTTGGAGTTGTTGTGATCTTGTTACACCGCGGAAGATATAGAGGATCAAGATCAGACTTTTGTCGAACAAGTTCAATTATGGAAGCCTTTAAATTCAAGTTTTCAACATGTTTTCAAGTTAACAGCCTACTCTTCACACACAAGTCAATCTATTTTTCAAATCTTAGTGTTCTACACAAGGTTATTAGTTTAACTTAGTCTACCAAGCGATCTCTTAATTCAAAGTTATTTTCAGCAAGTTGTTTTTGAATTCTTAGTCTAGTAGAAATATATCAGCATTCCCCAGCGAATTCACATCATTGTTGATTGAGTTTTTGGTAAGATTAATACCCAAGACTTTTATCTTATTTTGTTGTTTATTTTTACTTAACTTCTTAGTTATTAAACATTTAATTTAAATTCAAGTATATTTGTAACTTTAGTTAAATTCAAAGTTTTTGAACATTTTTCCTGCAATTTATGTCTTGGTTGAATTTTAGCCTACTACACTTTTCAAAATTTTGTCTCCGCTTATGTTTTTTTGCCTGCAATTTAGATTTTTGTCTAACTATATTTATTACACTTTCATTTATTAATTTTTAGTACTTGTTTTTAACTTATTCACTCTTAGGCACTTTAGTTTATTTTTTCTTGTTATATGTTTACCATAATCAAAGTCCTTGACGTATTTTTAAGATAAGTTTGAGATCATAATATAGGAACTAATCCTCATTTCTACCAATTATCTGATTCAGGCGCATTTCATTTTATGTGATGTTCTTCCAACAGCCTTTCCATGAGGAAAAATTGAGGGAAAGAAATGGTTATCGGCAAATCCTTTTTCTACTTTTCTTGCAAAACCAAGCGATACATTTTCGTTTCAATTTTTACAATAAGGTGTGACTAATAGGATTTTAGGGGTAACACTTGCATATGATTGTTGGTTTCACATTTCCATTATCATTTTCAATTCTTTATCTGAGGAGATTTCTCACGTCATGTTTGATTCTTGTATTATTTAAACATGTCAGTAGAGACTTTAATATGAGTGCTCATAGGCTAGCTCAAATGTCATCACACAAAGAAGTTTGGTTTGCGTTACGCACTGCTATCTGTACTAATATTCATCATTAAGTAATGATACAAGTATTCCATCCTCAAGAGCATATCCTGATAAAAGTTGAGAGCTCTTCAATTACAAATTTTCTGTTTCTTTGTCTTTCCCTTGATTCCATCGTTCCGTGTATAATCTATCCTGATATATTTGGATTTTCATTCTATTCTCTTTGCTCTTCCAACCATTTTTTTTTATCGAATAATTAGTTATATATTAAAAGATATTCTTTTTTAGATTCCTCTTTATTCATCTTAAAATTTAAATTTAAAATTTTTAATATAAAAATTTAAATTTAAAATTTTTAATATAAAAATTTAAACTTTTAACCTTTAAGATGTATAAAGACCTTTCAACTTTGTTAATGTAGAGAGATGCACAATTATTTTTTTTTTAATCAACCAAAAGCAAAGGTAAATTAGTGGGAGTACAAGAGTACTCCAACACTTACAAGCATAAGAAATATTAAACACTCGCGAGTTAACAAATTAAGTTAGTCCCTTAAAATTTAGTTTGGCAATATTAATTTTAATTAACATCTTATATATTTTTAAAATAAAAAATATAAAAAATAAAAAATAAATTATTAAGAAATGCTTTCAAATAAAATCTTAATAGATATTTTAATAATTAAAAATCTAAATTTTTATATTAAAAAGTTTAAATTTAAGCTATAAAATGAGTTAAAAAAAATATAAAAAACATTATTCTCGCTTATCCTCACGGCATGTATCACAACTTAAACCATAATAAATTTTCTTGTTCTTTGTTTTAGGACCTGTTTGGTACTGCGGTTAAATTTCAACGGATAGCAGGTAGCGGGTAGCGGATAGCAAGTAGCGGATAACAGATAGCAAGTAGCGGGTAGCGGATAGCGGATAGCTATAGCGGATAACGGGTAGCTATAGCGGATAACGGGTGGCGGTTAGTGGATAGCGGATGACGAATAGCGGAAAGTGGGTAGCGAATGGTAAATAGCGGATTCGATAAATATAA